TATGAATCACGACACTTGGTAGGAAGGGTTTGGGGGGAAATGAACTGCTCGAAACAAGCGAGGGGGGGTCATGTAAGCATGCGACGTGTGTTGGAATGTGATCCCGATGGAAGAATGAGATGAGACAAGATAAAAGTGTTTGGAAGGACTCACAAAGCGGGCATTCTGTAGGCAGGTCACCACCTCATCCGGTAAGCCGCTAGACATGGCGAGACGGATCAAGAGGGGGGTGAAGACGTGAGTCAAGAGAGGCAGGCTGCGAAAGGTGGACGGTGCTGCCGTGCTTGATCAGGCGCGTGAGGACGGTTGGCAGAACTTGACGGCGGGAAGGATGACGTTGCGTGGAGCTTGTCCGTGCAGCATCTCCGCCTCCGCCGAAGCGCGCGGCATTGCGCATTCCGACGGCGACCCGGCGACGCAGCCATTACCTCCTGCCACAACAGCCGCGTCTGCGATGGCTGCCCCGAATGCAATCCCGCCTATGGAGGGCACTGACAGCGTCCATGCCGACCCGAACAGCGTATCGTCGCCCACGCATGATGGTGCCCCCGCCTCGCCCATGGATGAAGCGACTCCCACATCGCCTGACCAAGGGAGCGCACCCCCCAATGCGCAGACGCAGCAGCGCGTGCAAGACATGTTGCACTCAGACGTGGGCGTCTCCACCCTGCTGAACCGCCTCAAGGCCAGCATTGCGAGCGCCAGAGTCAGTGGCCACGAAGCCGGGCTCTTGTGCATTCCGACGGCTAACACGCTGGGCAGGACTTTGCCAGCTTTCTCAAACGCCGGGGAGCTCTCGAGGAAGAGCACGCCGGCAGCCTCAAGAAACTAAGCCGTCTGACGCTCGACGGCGTGCGGAAGCCTGACACGCGGCACGAGAGCTACCAGACGCAGTTCGAGCAGGTCCTCCACGCAAACGAGCGCATCGCCGACAATGGCACCCAGTTCGGCCTTGCCCTACACGCCATGCACGAGAACCTGCTACAGCTGGCCAACAAGATGGATACAAGCCGCAAAACTTGGAAGCAGCAGGGGCTCTCGGCAGAGAACAAGGTTCAAGACGCCGAACGGCTGGCCGAGAAGGCCAAGGCCAAGTACGACCAGCTCGCCGAAGACCTTGACCGGGTCAAGACAGGCGACACAGGTGCGGGCAGGAAGTTTGGCTTGAAAGGGCCCAAGTCAGCCGCCCAGCACGAGGAGGACCTCCAGCGCAAGACCCAGGCGGCAGATCAGGACTATGCCAGCAAAGTCCAGACGGCACAGGTCTCCCGCAAAGAGCTCGTCGCGACTCTGCGGCCCCAGGCTGTCTCTGCGCTGCTGGATCTCATCAAGGAAACCGACGCTGCTCTGACTATGGAAATGCAGAAATACGGTAAGTCCACCTGCTGCCCGCGTCAGCTTCGACTGACGCTGTCATAGCCTCGTTCAACGAGAAACTTGTCGTCAACAATGGCCAGGTCGTCAGTCCACAGCCACCCAAGGGCGCGACTACTCAGGCCCCGTCCAGCATCAACCAGCTCATCTACCAGATCAACAATGAGCGCGACTTTGACGAATATATTTTGAGCCATGCCTCCAAAGCACCCATCACCAAATCAGAGCTACAGTACCTGAAGCATCCGACACAGGCGCAGACGCGGTCACATCCAACACCACCTGCTGCTGCGAGTACTAACCGACGTACCTCCATGCAGCTGCAGAGTCAGCCGCCGCCCTCTTTCCCCATGCCGCAGCCAGATGCCAACCCTCTATCGCCTCAGGGCCCTTCCAGTCTCGAGCCCTCGTCTGGGGGTCCTGCACAGCTGCCACCTTCGTCGTTGCAATCGCAACCACAGCCTTCGCAAGCGCCGCAGTTCAGCAACTCGCCCTACTCACCCGTGGGGCCCACGCCTTACCCACAGTCAGACTATCCTCGTGGACCTGTCGGTCAGGCTACGGCACAGCAGACTAGCGGAATTCTTTACAACAACGCCCAACCCCCGGTCAATCCCGTCTTTGGCGTCACTCTGGAAGACCTGTTCCACCGAGATGGCTCACCCGTACCCATGGTAGTCTATCAGTGTATTCAGGCTGTGGATCTATACGGACTGGAAGTAGAGGGCATCTATCGGATCCCTGGAACCTCGTCGCATATCCAGCAAATGAAAGCTCTCTTTGACAGTGGTAGGTGATTATGAGAATTAGTCAATGCGGGCGACTAACGCTATACAGACGCTTCCCAAGTAGATTTCCGCAACCCAGAGTCGTTTCAGCACGACGTCAACAGTGTGGCTGGTTTGCTGAAACAATTCTTCCGCGAGCTTCCGGATCCACTGCTCACCCGCGAATTCTACGGCAAGTATATCGATGCTGCACGCATCGATGACGAGACCATGCGACGTGATTCCATGCACGCGCTAATCAATGCTTTGCCCGATCCGAATTATGCGACACTTCGTGCCCTTGTTTTGCATCTGCATCGTGTGCAGCAATCCTCCGAGGTTAACCGCATGAGCACCGCAAATCTGGGTATCTGTTGGGCGTAAGTCATCACTCGACCGAATCTATGTATCGACTAACCTCGTATAGGCCGTCCATAATGGGTCCTCATAAAGGCAACAATATGGCCGATGCCGGTCTGCAAGCCCGCGTAATCATTACCATTCTTGACAACGTGCTCCAGATATTTGACGAGGACTGAACAACTATCTTGCCTGGGCAGGGGCTCATGTCTGTCATGTTCTTGCAATCTCAAATCACGTTTCCTATTACCCTCTAGGTGTTCAATGTCTAATCCAATGCGGGCTCCGCTTGTGCGGGACGGCTACCGCATTCGTGAACAGCACTTTGTGTATGATTATGGTAGAGTACGAGAGAAGCAGGGACTAAGCTACATCATAAGAAGGCATGGTCGCTGCTCGCTGCTCGCTAAGGGGTATGAATAGCCACACGCAGGGATGGAGCAGTCAGGGACAGCGAAGTTCGAGGTCGAGGTTTAGAAGTGAATTGATCCAAATGGTCTCTTTCTAGTCTCGTGGTACATCTTGGGCCTCTACGATCATGTCAACAGATTAGATGCAAAGAATACGACCATGGATCTGGATGTTGGCCTGAAGATGCGATGAAAGTGTTCTGCGCTACATTGAAATGTAAACAGCGTTGCAACGCTTCCAGTAGAGCAATGTAGACGCGTGACGGAGGTTGGTGAGGTTTGCAGTGGGGCGCGCTTACCCCAGTGCCCCGGGCGGATACCTAGGCAGCGGGACGCTAGTGAGCTTGACAGGGACAGCTCCAGTAGGCTGATTGAGGGGAAGCTGTGCTGTAGCCCGCCCAAACCGACACAAACACCACCACTACTCCACTCCATACACGCTGTCGGCGTTGGTGTGCAAATTGACCTCACCCTCCAGCTCCGGTCCCGACAGTACCATCATGCTCACACGCCGTGTTTGTGCCAGTGTGCGCGGCATCCTCTCCCCGCCGTGTGCCACCGCCGTCCGCTCTCAGGCCTTCAGTGCTGGCGCTCCAACACAAAGCCCGGCTAGAGCTCCTACCCTCGCCGACATCACACCCGATAGTGCTGCCAGCTTCAACGAGAAGCAGAAGAGCTTCCGCGACGGTCTGGTAGCTGCTCAGAAGCGAAAGGAACAGGAAGAGAGTCCGTTGCACGTCGCCCAACCTGAATTACCCAAGAGCGCTAACGTGAGTAACTACAGAAGATGCCCGCGCCCGTGAGCAAGAAAACGGCAAGAAGAAGGGCGGTGCGCTATCATCTCTCATCTACGGCACGCCCGAGGGCCGCGAACTCGACAAGGACATTGAGCGCAGCTTTTCTCAGGTCTTAGCTCGCGGCAAATACGTCCACTCCATTGTGTTCCACGAGGTACTGCAAGACAAGGTCGAAGAGTACACCGAGTTGGTTGGAAGCTGGTACCCAAAGATGGCGTCCATTCCCGAGAACAAGGTCCATCTTGTAGGTAGCTGGAGGACTGAAGTGGGAGATTGCAACACCTTTGGTAAGTCTGCAACTCGCTCCAACGCTCGCATCTCTCTCAACGATGCTGACTATGCACCAAAGTACATATCTGGGAGTACCAACGCTACGAGGGTTACCACGAATCGCTACACAACATCCAATCCCATCCAGAGTTCCCTGCGTTCGATGTCAAACTCAAGACCTTGATCAAATCCAAGCACAACTCCCTAATGCAAGAGTTCTCCTTCTGGCCTACGACACCCCCACGCCAGCTCGGTGGCTTGTTCGAATTGCGCTCGTACACACTACATCCTGGCAATTTGCTCGAGTGGGAGACACATTGGCGACGTGGCTTGAAGGCCAGGCGGGAAGTCATGGAGGGTGTGGGTGCTTGGTTCGTCCAGATCGGTGATCTGAACACAGTACACCATCTGTGGCAATTCGCCAATCTGGAGGAACGCAAGGTCCGTCGTGAACAGAGCTGGAGTGTGGAAGGCTGGGGCGAGACAGTGCACAAGACCGTGCCGCTCATCCAGACCATGAGGAGCAGGATCTTGATTCCTTGCTCCTGGAGCACTGTTGCATAAGCTTCGATTGCACCGATCAAGCCACTCATTTGGTGTACGACCAAGTAAATGGCACTGTGCGCTGCTTACAGTGAGAGGGTGTCATGTCTGCTGTATCATGTATATGAGCAAGATCGATCACAATGTTCCAGAATGAGGCAAGTATCGCTAGTGGAGCCATCAAGCCTCCAGCGTCTAAGTGGTGCGAAGTTGCGAGGGGCTGCATCAATGTCAGATACACATTCGTAGAATATGATGATTCATCTCATTCGTTGTGCACGCCGAGGTAGCGATCGTACCTGACATACCGTTTCGACGCTAAGATGTTGCCAAAACCGGCGGGCGGACGGGTCGCTACGTCATAAGATTTTGCGCTTGGCGCACCACCACATAGCAACAAGTGCCGCCGAAATCACTTTCGCTGCCAGAACCCCACAACAACTCGCCAACAGTTGCTGGTACTAAGCGAATAACACACCATGGTGTACATACGACAGGATAAGCTACCAAAGCTCAGGGAGTACAAGTACTCTGGCGTGGATCACAGCTTGCTTTCACAATATGTCCTCAAGCCTTTCTACTCTCATGTGGTCATCAAATGCTTTCCTATGTGGATGGCGTGAGTATTTCCAAAATCTCATACAAAGCAATACTAACATTTCTTAGACCCAACCTTGTAAGTTTGGCATAAAAAAAAAAGATTTTATATGTCGAACCCCGCCGCAAGAGCTTCGTCCTTGCTTACATGATGCTGTAGATAACACTCTCTGGGTTCGGGTTCATCATAGTCAACTTCCTCACCTTACTCTGGTATACACCGACCCTTGATCAAGATTGTCCGCCTTGGGTGTACGCCAGCTGGGCCATCGGACTGTTCCTCTACCAAACATTTGATGCTGTGGATGGGAGTCAGGCCCGCAGGACTCGCCAGAGCGGTCCTCTAGGCGAGCTGTTCGATCATGGAGTCGATGCGATCAATACGACACTGGAAGTATTGTTGTTCTCTGCGACAATGAATCTTGGCCAAGGCTGGAAGACAGTCCTCACGCTCTTTGCATGTAAGCCAGCACCTTGACATTACTTGCTTTGCATCTTATCTTGCTAACTACTGCAGCATCTCTGACATTCTACGTGCAGACCTGGGATGAGTATCATACCCATACACTGACTCTTGGTGTTATCTCTGGGCCAGTCGAGGGTATCATAACCTTGTGCATAGTGTATGCCTCAACGGCCTACCTTGGTGGAGGTAGCTTCTGGCAACGCTCCATGATCCAAAGTCTCGGAGTGAAAGAGCATGGATTCATTCCAGAAGTGCTGTACAATTTGGCATGGAACGAATGGTATATGGTCTATGGAGGAGTTGTGCTCGTGTTTAACACTGTTTCGAGGTATGAACACATGCCATTGTACGAGACAGTAGGCTGACAATGACACAGCGCGCAAAATGTAATGAAGGCGCGTCGTGCCCGTGGTCAAAAGGCGCGAGTCGCTCTCCTGGGTCTTCTTACCTTCGGGGCGGCTTGGGTCCTCATCACGGCGTACTTGTACCTGCAACCTATGATCTTGCATCACCATCTGGTTCCGTTCATCTTCTACGCTGGTCTCATCAACGCGTACTCGGTGGGTCGCATGATCATCTCTCACCTTACGAAATCCCGATTTCCTCGAGGCAACGTACTGATGTACCCTCTCATCTACGGAGTGATCGATTCGCTCGGGCCATGGCTACAGGAGCACATTGGTGTCGGCTGGCCAAGTGCCTTGGGCAACGATGTTTATCAGGTTGCCTTTGTGTTCATGTGTCTAGGTCTTGCTGTCGGTGTGCATGGAAGCTTCATCGTGGATGTTATTTGGACGATCTGCGATTATTTAGACATCTGGTGTCTCACGATCAAGTACCCCTACCAGCCAGTAGAAGAAAACATCGAACGGAAGGGACAATGACGATCAGGCTACTGGGTCTCAACCACAAGGGGAGATGGAAAGGGTTGATGGGATTAATCCCACTATAAATTCCTTTGTTTGGGGATCTTTGCGTACGCCCGCAGGAACTCATCATCATATATAGATGTTAGAGCTGTTGGCTGAGTAGCTTTACGAGGAGCACGACATCACGTAACTATAGTGCAGTGAAATACACCACACATTATCAACCTCAACTTCAGATACTCAAATATGTACCTTCCGCATTTCAAGGTTCCTGAGATTGATTGTGCCGGCCCGCATATATGTGTGGTGCCAGCGTGAGCCACGCTAGACCGATGTAGGTCACCCCCGAGCGCGTCTCCGCAATCACTCATCAACCGGAGCCAGGACTCTACAACCTCCAACGCAAACATGTCAACCGTGGGGGTAAATTTGGCTGTTACTAAAGACGGTGAGAGCTACAACAAACTACAGCGGCCCGATGGTTACCTTATGTCGACGCAGCCGCCCTCCATATCCTCCTCGACAGCGTCCCCGACTGCATACGGCAGCAAAAGAAAGTGCGCGCAAGAAGAGGCCGTTGGTGTTAAGCGCGCGAGGATCGCGCGCATCACAGCGCACCCAAAAAACCGGCCGCGCGCTGTAGATTCGTACCAAGAGTATGGGACACGGACGGTGCTACCAGGACTCGACGGTGAAGAGCAGTCATCCGACGAGACCACAAGCGAAGCGTTGGCCTACCTTCACGGTGTCCGGTGAGTGCTTACTTCATCTTTTGCACTCCCCTCACATGAGAGCATTATCAAGTGCATCGCTTATACATGAGGCCTAGGTCTGAAGCATCGGCGATTCCCACTCTACTCGTAGCCCCAAACAATGTCAACGCTGGCAAACTCGACTCAGACCATGACGAATCGCAATACAGAAGCCCGATGGATACTCAACGCGTCATATACAGGGAAGGAACCTGGATTGCCGTGGATTGGGAGTACAACGCTACCAAGTGGGAAACAGACTCGTTCGCCCTTGATCCACAGGAAGCTTGCACCAATGCTCTCCTCCAGCGCTTTCGAAACCTTCGCAAGAAACTCGCCGAAATGCGGAGGTATGGACGACTACCAGACACAGCAGCGAGCCGCGCAAAAGTAGAGAAGTTTGGAAAGCAGAAATGGTCGGAAACCATAGAGAAGGACTTACCGATTCTCCAAGAAATCATGCACATTGACGAGTCGACGCTGTATATGGCTCTACAAGGCTGCACGTTAGCATTGGGTCGATCAGCTAAGATATCCCGGGAGAAGAGCAGCTGGATATGGACCTTGTTGGCCCTAGTTGGAGATTTCGGTACTTTGGATCATGAGCGTGTGAGCAGAATTCGAGACTTGGGGCTCAGCGCAGGCCGGCTAGTGGGCCGACTCTACGCAGACAACAGAACATTGACGTGTGATGCACAAGAAGGCGAGTGCACTAGTCCCGAGGTCCTAGAGACCGATCCCAGAGAACAGACACATGGAGCTCACGACACGAGACATCTCACGCCGAAAGTCACACAAACTCTGCGCGATGTTTCGGATGAGAAAGACAACGGATTAGACACGACGTCCTTCAGAAATGACAATGCCGTACTCAGCCAAAACACAGTCATTGAAGAGACGGATGATTCTGACGCAGAGATGATCATGTCTGAGGATGAAGTTGAATCAGAAAGCATTCCGGAAGATGGAGGTCTTGAGGAAGCTCGAGCGCGTCTTCTTGCGCAACTCGGAGACCGCTTGGTACATTCACAAGTGCCTCTGCCTCATACGCCCCCAATGCAAGTCCATCATCACCTTTCAAGGGTCGAGGCTGAGAGGCAGCGACAAGAAATACGCCGAGGAGAGCTGCAGCAAACTGCGAGTGCCACCAAATTGGCGCCAGTTTCCGAGCCGACGCAGGCCAAACCGCAGTCCATTACCCCATTGTCCGAGAGTGACTGGAACACCAAGGCAGCCATCGACATGATTCTGACAGTTGTAGCCGAGTGCTATGGACAAAGAGATCTGCTGAAATTTCGACTGCTCTGGTAGTTGCACACAGCGCGATGACTAGAAACCCATGCATCAATTTATTCGTTGTAATCCTGTGACTATATTTTGGCTACCGCAGTGACGTCGGTGTGAAGATGCACGGGCCAAGTCGCGGAGTAGAACGATTCTTTGCACACGCGCGCTTGCTCTTGGGCGATTGAGTCACTTTCCAGGTCCATGCAGCGCATTTCACCCCACTTTGTCTGCCCCGCGCTCTTCCAGGACGCCCTCCGATATACCTTCGCATACCGTAAAGTCAGCCGAACATCTATCCGAACCTACATTCTTGCACCCCGCCGCCGCTTCTCTACGCAAACTTCGCCCTTGGGCTTCGACGACGACATGGGCAAAGAAGACAAGAACAAATCGTTCAACCTGAAGGTGCCAAAGGGCACACGCGACTGTACATTTTGCCCACATTGCGCCCAAACGACTCGCTAACTATGTCAGGGACTGGCGAGGATGCCGCACTTCGCGACAACCTGTTCCAAACGGTAACGGAAGTTTTCAAGCGCCACGGCGCTACGACACTCGACACGCCCGTCTTCGAACTCAAAGAGATCCTCAGCGGTAAATATGGAGAAGACTCAAAGTTGATATACGATCTGCAGGATCAAGGCGGCGAGCTCTGCTCACTGCGCTACGATCTCACCGTTCCACTTGCACGATGGCTCGCCATGAACCCTAGCGTCCAGAGTTTCAAGAGATACCAAATCGCTAAGGTGTACCGCCGCGACCAACCAGCCATGACCAAGGGTCGCATGCGAGAGTTTTACCAATGCGACTTCGATATCGCGGGTTCCTACGACGCCATGATTCCAGATGCCGAGGTACTCAAGATTGCGACCGACGTCTTCGATGCGCTCAAGTGGGATTCGTACACGATCAAGATAAATCACAGGAAGATTCTGGACGGCATGTTCAAGGCTGCTGGCGTCAAGGCAGAACTGATAAGGCCGATCAGCTCTGCTGTGGACAAACTAGACAAGGTGAGCTGAACATCTCCATGTCTCTGCCAATTACTAACATGCTGCAGCTACCATGGTCAGAGGTCAAGCAAGAAATGGAGACCAAGGGACTGCCAGCAGACATCGCGGATAAGATTGGTGAATGGGTGCAGCGCAAAGGCGGCGACGACATCATCGACTATCTCAAGACAAACGAGACCCTTTCTCAATCGGAAGATGTCAGCCAGGGTGTTCGGGAGATGGAACAGCTCTTCTCATACCTCGATGCTTTTGGTGCCCGCAAGAGGATCTCTTTCGATCTCTCACTCGCCAGAGGTCTAGACTACTACACTGGGCTCATCTACGAGGTAGTTACAGAAGGCTCAGCACCGCGCGTAAAAGGTCAGCAGCAAGAAATCGGCGTAGGAAGTGTCGCTGCCGGTGGTCGTTACGACGGGCTCGTGGGCATGTTCAGTGGCAAGCCTATTCCCTGCGTTGGCATATCTTTCGGCATCGATCGAATCATTAGCATCATGAAAGCCCGCGGCCAGTCGACACAGCGTGCCAAAGATGTCGATGCCTTCGTCGCAGCCTTTGGTGGTAAAGGCTTCACCGGCCTGTTGACAGAACGTATGCAAGTCGCTCAAGAGCTATGGGCTGCAGGCATCAAGGCTGAGTTCTCGTACAAACTGAAGCCGAAACTCCCTCAGCAATTCAAACAAGCTGAGGTGGCCGGTGTCCCGCTCCTCGTCATCCTTGGTGAGGATGAGCTCAAAGACGGCAAGGTCAAGATTAAGGTCCTGGGAATCAAAGACGACACCGACCCCGAGAAAGACGGTGTACTGGTGAACAGGACTGATATGATTGCCGAGATTCGGAAGCGACTACCAAGCGCAGCTTGATTGCAGTTGGCGGGCGGACTTCCAGACTGACAGTGCACTTATAGATACCCATAGACTACATTCTACAAGCTCCCCTACCCGGGGTTCACAGTGCCATTCGCAAGGACCAAATTTGGAGAGAGTCTAGAAGAACAAAAGCATGTGTACCTCGACCTAGGACGGACACGACGTTGATCCTTCCAGTCGGATGAATAGCGGTTTCCCTAGCATTACTTGAGTCGGACGTGTATATATACAAAAAGTCTACCGGAAATCACCGTGGTGCTTGAGGGGTTTCTTATCATTCAAGTCCGCATTGATTTTGCTGTCGCGTTGTTAGGCAGACCAGAACTGTGCGGCACCAATCTGTGTGAGCACATTGTAGAGAACTTGTTTGATTTGCGCAATAGGTCTTATGTACAGACGCATAACTGAAGGAAAAATCTCGCACTCTGCTGCCATGAGGTTTTGATTTGGAAATTGGGTAGTTGATGTCAGTTTGCGTGTCTAGTAGCCGTCCTTGCCCCACTTGTTGTATGTGTCATGGAGTTCCTACGCTCGTCAATACAGTCTGATTGCTGGTAATCAAGGGCGTCAGCTTACCTTGGGGAGGGTGACGTTGGGAATGACGACCACGTTAAGCGCAGAAGGCGCATCCTTCTTGACGCTGGTGTCACCTCCGGGGTGGTACTGGTATGGGCCTACACCACCATCCTGCTTCCAAGGCTCACTGCCTGCGGCCTTGGCGACAGCTCGTTCCGAAGAAGCACTGGTAGGAGAGCGGGCTTGCAATTGTCAGCACGTGAAGACGGGCGCACGAGGCAGAATCGATGTATCCGGGAACATACAGAAGTGCCATCCTGCCAGACCGAAAACACCGCTCATGATAGCGAACAGAACCTGTAGACGAATCAGCTATGCGCCCTGTATTGTCCAATTGACGTGTCGCATCCTACATAGAGCTCAGGGTCGCGCTTCGCTCCGGTCTTGAGGGCGTCCTTGCCGGCCTGTCTCTCGCCCTCAGCGGCGGCGCTGGCCCATCGTCGAAGAGCAGGCGTAGGACGGACACGCGGGGCGGCGCGGAAGGCGGAGCGGGCAATGATGGAGGACATGATGGGGGGGTG